GAATCAGACAGCTGACTGGGATGAAATGCAGCAGCGTGTAAATGTTGGAGAGTGCAGAGCCAAACATCATTTAATGAGTTGGACTCAAATATAGCATCATGGTGATTTTTTTCAATCCTGAGCTTATTGGATTAGGACGTGATGGAATTGTTTACTGATAACATCCAGTATGACTCAATACTAGAACACTCAAACCTTGGTTTTTCTCAATCAGTTTGCAGATGTCAGTGCTGCTCTGTTGCAGAGTCCTGTGGCGTTGAAATGCACAAATGTCGAGTAAAGAAGTCAGTTTGCACAGCCACCAGTAGAGGGCGGTAACTCCTAAGAAATGGAGAGAGAAGACTATGAATGAACATGAGAATCTAAGCCTCTGAAGTACTCACAGCTGCGTGAGCGGCCTTGATGTGTGGAAACACATTTTCATAGCTCTGTTCCAACATTGTCAAACTTCAGATCAACATCATATCTTCCTGTAGCACATTTGATTAGATCAGCCTTTCTCCTCCACCAGTGTGTTTGTAATGAATCTACTGTTGGTGCTTGCACAATATGTGCACCAGCTCTGTGTAACTTATCTGTAGCTCATCCGCTGCAGCTACAGGGCACTTCCATATCTGTGGCATCGATGCCACTGCAGCACTCAGCGTGTTAACCCTCCTGATTCGGTCATGATTGCAGATTCATACCTCTCCGCAATTCATCTGCTCAAAAAACGTGCACAAATAGACACACAGCACGATCTTAGCTCAGTGGGAAGATACCATGAACAGCATGAAGTGGTTCTTTAGCACAGCAAAGCATGCGGCAGACAAAATGAAACAGGTAAATTCCTTTTAAGGCTGTATCTCGATCTCAAATAGCTCGATAAATGATTTCTTGAGGATGTGAACTATTTGACAATATTAACAACGGCTACATTCGAGTGAGGTGTGAGGTGAATGGCTGACTGATACACAGAAGCCACACCTGTGTAGGCTACAGACTACGCACACGGACACCTGCGTCCTGCTGGCGAAGAACTTGTCTGGAGAACAGCTCTACAGTCTGTGCTCTGCAGTGTGAGGTAGTTGGTTGTATGGTTTCGCATAATAAACAGCACGGAGATAACTGTACAACCTTCTAGCTTTCCCTGCGGAGTCACTTCTTGCCACGTCTAATGTACCCCCAGCAGAGAGGTAAGTAGAGGATCTCCCAGTGGTTAATGACACGACACGTCCTTTTTCAGCTGCGACGCCTTTTATCCTCTCACAAGGTCTAATCAGATGCGCTCCCCACGGGCAAAGCCTTTCTGACTTCTCCATGGGCTCGTGTGTCCTTTTGTGCACAATATCTGTAGCAACTGGACGTTTTTGTCAGCAGGGCCTACCGCTGCTTGATGGGCTGTTGCTCGTGCTCCAGCGATCAGTGGCTCCCACTGCAGCAGCTTCAAGACATCTTACTTTGTGGTCAGATGAGGGGCTGTACGCAAAATATTCATGTGGAGACGGCAGCTGAATGATTTATCTTGTTTTTTTGTTTTGTTAATATTTTCTTTGACTAAGAAAATACTGCATTACCCTCCCCCAATGTCTCAAGACAGTGTGGTAAGCAAATGGTCTAAGAAAAATCCCCACCACTCCCTCTTGGACCAAAGTGAAAATAATACTGATACAGACACAGGATTGTTTTCCTCTGCATATAAATACATAGGCAACACTAACTAGCAATCCAAACTTTCAGACCCTTCCCCCTTCAACAAAACAAACAAATCATTCTGCTCCCCTCCCTGCCAGTAATTTTCATATGGTCCCTAATAAAACACAATGTAAAATACATGAGATTACCACATGTTTTATACACAACCTCACTATGGAAATCACAACAGGTAGAGGAGCAAATGTCTGTCCGACATTGTTCTTTTACCCACATGCTACTTCTACTATTACTACTACTACTTTCATGTTACCACTTTGTGCAGTCCACTGCATCCACCAACAGACACTAATTTATCCAGTTTCATTACCCCACAACCTCGCCCTCCTCCCATCCCCTCAGTAAGTCAGACTAGGGGTTGAGACAGCAGCCATCTGCAGTGCGTTATATCCAGCTCTCCTCTCCTGGAAGGGGGGAATTGTGCTGATTCGGCACTGTCAGTCGCAGCGTTCTTTATCATCCACCGCACCATGCTGCTGTGCTGCCAGAACAGACAGCTGAATGTCTGACAGTTGCAAGGTGTGCAGGGTAAGGATAATGTCTGCTGGAAGAAGGGCTAGCAGCCCTGCCTCCTTCTCTCCTCTTATACACCAAAGATTGTTTACACCAGCGTCCTGTTATACTTGGCTCCTTTTGCAGCCTGGCAGATGCTGCACACTCTGCATATGTGGGAGCAGATTGTTACACTAACATTCATCCGCCTGCAAGTACGCTGCTCGAAAAAGCTTCTTTCAAGGTTGGAACCATGAGTAAAACACCTCGACCTCTCCCAGTAGAAAAACATAACAAGCCGGTCTACACTGTTTTTGCCTTTGTGAACACACACACACTAAGTTGTTAAAACATGTGTGATGAGTAGGAATTTGCTGCCAAAGATGTTGTCTCCAGGTCTCCCGGGATGTAACGGCGAACTAGAGCATCCCGAGACCGACGAGGCAGACATCATCCCAGACTGATGATGTCATCCCTGTGGAGCACTCCCAGTGCTTTGTCTCACAGTGGCACTGCAGAGTGCAGCCGCAGGCACACACATACACTCACACATACATGCACACCCACACAAACACCGACAAACACACACACCTGTCTGTGACATTCTGTGTTTGTCACTCGGGTTCGGAGACAGCTCATGCCAGAGAGAGCGGCTTTTCCTTGGTCTTTGAGGCAAAATGGCGTCCAGCTAGCCGCTGTCTTAGAAAGCTGTGCTCTAATGAAGTCTGCTTGCAAGAGGGCAGACAGAGGAGAGAAGGCAGACACTCCTGCACTTTATAATCCATTCACAATCGCAATCTTTGTGCAGTAAACCTGCAACAATTCATCTTAGTGACATCAACGTAGGATCAGTTAGAATGCATGTGCTGCACAAGCACATATTGCAAAGGAACTCGCATTCAGTGCAAATGGACGGTACAGTACACGTGGAGCACATATCACAGCAGATCGAGGAAGCACATCAGCCTGTTGTTTCTATGCAAATTTATGTGGCATGGCATTAGAGTACAATTGCGGCTACGGAGGAGGATGTGAAGAGTCCTGTCGTGCATGGGAGCTGTGAATAAGACAGTCACACAGAATAGGATCAAAGCAGGGAATAAATTCAGCCGTGCAGAGTATGTGTCTGGAATACCTGCTGCTGAAGTGACACAGTCGTACAGAGGCAATGTTGTTCCATCATGAATATTCATGATGTATTATGAATGTATAGTGTGGTGTTTTTTATTGTAACCTACATTTCTGAAAGGTTGGATCCTCGTGTTGCATATTTATGAAACATCTAGAAACCTTTTGAAAGAAGGTGAAGATGAGTTTTTCTTTTAATCGATTCTCATTACTCAGTGTTTGTGGAGTTTCAGATTGAGGGGCTTTTAAAATGATCACTAAATGTTGCAAGAGATGGACGCACTCACTCTGTAATTTCTCTCAATTTTATGGCCTCTTTTTTTGCTTCTGCTAACTAGTTATCCATCAAGGAGGCGTCATTACAGGCCTCAGTCACCACTCGCTGCTTCAGGCCAAGAACATATAAAGTATTTCCTCAGCCAGCTATAGCCTCATTTGCTCTGGATGTGTGACACATCCGTGATACTCTCTGTTGTACAACACGGTCCGAACACTTCAGGGCCATCAATGATGCTTACACATCAAGTGTGGTGTTTATGCTCCATCTCGCTGAACAGACAGCAAATCAGTAGCTCTAAATTAGATTTACTTTCATTTCTGAATTTCCCTCAGGGCCGCATGATTCTGTTATCCAACAAACACGACTGCAGCGCTCTGTCCTCACAGAGAGCAGCACAAATATTAGAGTCAGACTGCCCGTGGAGCTGTGAACTAACAGAGCAACCACGCAGAAATATGAAAACGCACAGAAAAAATACAATATTGCAAGTTTCTTTATTGAAGCATTTCTCAGTTTATCAACGTGTTTAAACAGCCTCTGTTTCTGCACCATGCATTGGTTGCACCAAGAAATTAACTCTGCATCGTCCACCTCCAAATTTCCAATCTCTACAATCAAATTGCGTTCTTGTAATTGGTAAAGTTTTCCCTCAGCGGGTTGATTTAGTGCATTTGATTTCGCTCCAGCTGCAATCTACAGTTGTGCTCGAGCCCGTGCCATAAATCCTCTAATCAATGTGATGATGGTATGATTGGTGTACACATAGGAGGAGGCAGTAATGTCAGCCTCTCAGGTTCATGAGACTCCTGGGCTTCATATTTTCTCTCTATTCTCATCCTATTAGAGATTCGGACCCTCCCCCTCCATCCCCCACTTTCTGCTAGCCTCTCTGCCACCACCTCCACCCCTCCGTCTACCCCCACTCTCCCTCTCTCTCGCTCACACACACACACGCACAAGGTCCCTCTCTTACGGAGACACACATAAACACACGCACACGCATGCACCCACTGCACTCTTATTCACTCCCTCTTTCCATCTCTCACACGTTTACACACAGACACGTAGCTCACAGACTGGAGTGTGTGTATGTGTGTGTGTGTAGAGGGGGTGGGTTTACTGGGCTAGTAGAGACGTGAGGCTTGGAAAAACGTGAGAGGGAAAAAGAAGGAGATGGAAGGCTGACGACCAGAGAGTGTAAAAGAGGGAGAGAGAGAACGGAAGAAGAAAGACTTTAAGGTACAAAGAGAGTCGACTGGAGAGCGTGAATGCAGCACGTTTGGTAAATGAGTTTGTGAGTGCGTAGTCTGTCATCCGTGGTGCGTGAGTGCACAAGTAAGGAAGCGTTTTCTCTTTCCTTTTTTTTTTCTCTCATTTGCAGCTTGGTGTGTTTGTCACGGCAGCCCTGCGGAGACAAAAGGTGAAAAGCTGTATAGATGTTGGTGTTAGTCAGGTGGGTTGGTAGAGAGTAGAATAATGGAATCAATACTATTGTCTGTAACCTACCTGCCGCTGGGCTCTCTGTCTGGCCCCAGCAGAGACCATCAGAGAGAGAGAGGGAGAGGGAGGGAGCTGAGAGGAAACACAGATTCACTCTGAGCAGAAAAGAAAAGAAGACGCTGACTTGAAGGTGAATGTCTCTTTTATTTAACATTTACACTCACCAGGTGAATGTACTTTAAGGGTTTTATGGTTTTTATGCAAAGGTGGCATGCATTTTTATCTGAAACTTTTTCATCAATAATTCTGTGCTGCTGTGCATGCATTTCGTGCACGCATGTGTGCACAGTCTCCGAGCTGAATACATTTGCAGTACGAATGTGTGTGTATTTGCATACGCTGAAGAGTCATTCAATTAGCATCTCGGCTGTGTGTGCTGTCGACAGGTCATGTCTATGTTTCAGGTCTGATTCGCATCTTGTTTTAATTCTTACTTATCTTTCACACCTTGTTTGTAAATCTCAGATAAACATTTGACTGATTATATTAACATTTTTGAAGTTAATAAAAATAGCAGCTGTCAAGGAATAGCAATGTTTTACAATATGTATTTACTCCGGCTGCAGTTGTAACGCATGTGTTCAACTCAGAAACGTCCATTTCTATCTTTGTGCTTTGACCGTTTTGCTTTACTGATGCTGACATGAACGGAACTATTTTAAAAGTAAAGCATCCTCCATTGCAGACAATTCCATAATTAATTTCCAGGTGAGGTTATAATCGATGTTCTCCTCTTGTCCGATCCAGCTGCCACATCTGTCTCACGCGACATTAACAAAGACAATCTAAACATCACACCATCTCATTTTCCCAAATCCTGAGGCCTGTAGCTCATGTCAGGTCCACCTGTGGGTAAGACTTAATCTGCATTAATGCAGCTCGGCTTGATGCAGGACGTGATGCAGGCTCATTGCACCTTTAATCAAATTCACGCTGAGGTGTTCTACATGATGAAAACATGTCTCCTGCGACAGATGAGTCACAAAATGTTCTAATGCCCCTTTTACATCACATGAACATATTCAGTCTTCCCCCAGTCAGCATGTGTCATTCTCTCTGTCTACCGGTGGGTGGCATCGGCTTCTAATATTTCTACGCAATTAATTTTCTTTCTTTTGTCACTAGAATATTCAGGATGTTTTACACTGATTATTTTGGACTTTGACTTGAGTCTAAAGTGACAATATTTGATTTCATTTACAGGTGGACTGATGTCGCAGATGCCCTCCCTGTCCTGCTCTTCATCTTCGTCTTCGCAACCATTGCAAACTGTTTTAATCATAACTGGTAAGTAAGGACGCAGATTCTCTCCTGCTCTTAAAACTAGACTGATAAAATATAGCCTGACATAGTAATAATGAGTAATGCATGAGGGGATTTTCAAACCTGGAAGAGCCATGCGACTTAAAATGTCGGAATAAATGTGAACTATAAATCCCAGTGAGTTAATCTTCATAGATTTATCAGGAAATAAACTTTTCTTTTTCTTTTACAGAATGTTGTGGATCTCGTGTCTAGAAAATGATCAAGAAATAAAGATAAATGCCCCTTTCCAATATTGATATGTTAAGTTTTAAGATAAATATTTGGCTATGTATGTATAAAGAGTTTTAGTTAGGATACTTGTTAGTCATTTTTTTGGAAGGCAAGTTAAATGAAAGCCTGTTATAGTTCTACTATTATCTTTATTACATATGTGTGAGATCACTGAGCTCTGAACAGCTAGACTCAGTATAAGCTCAATAAGTCCCATTCAAAATACCCTCGTCATTTACCAACAGTTTAAAATACATTGTTCCTCTTAATTGATTGCGTCTCCCCCACAATGTGCTCAACTGCTGCATTGCTGAGCTCATTAAATGTTGCTCAGCAAAACAAAAGACGATTGTGGGGGAAATGCAGACAAATACGTCAGGATTATGTTTTAATTTAACTGATCGGTTTTGCTTCTGATCTGCAGCAAACCAGGGAGACCGCTCGCTGCTGCAGAATCCAAACGTTAGATGAGGTCATGTCTTTGTCTGGGTGCAGCGACTCTGCGGTTCCTATTTTTTAATACGTTTCATCTCACCGATGTTTCTTTTTTTCACATTCAGTTGCTCTATATTTAAACCCGCCCTGTGTATTTTAATTTCACAGTATGCCCCTCTGTCCCTGAGACCCTTAACCTGTGAGGTCAAAGCAGGTCACAGGTGAGGTCCTCGGGAACAGGGCTGCATTCAGTTTCAACGTCCCGTAAAAGAGAAGAAGTTTGTTCAAGGTTTTCACATGATAAACGTCTGTTCGATATTTAAACCACTGATGCCTGTTAGTATCCAGCTGTATGTCTCCTCAGACTGATTCAGCATGTTTTCCTGTCATGTCATGATCGAGACGCGTCAGGTTGGACAAGAAGACGATGATCCCTCCACCTGCTGCACAGTCGCTCTCAGGGGGCCAACCCTATTGGCTGGCTTTGTGTTACAGCCCTCACTGGGGGCCAATAGGAAGACAGCCAAGGGTTGTGACCCCGTCATATATCACCTTCAGTTATTGCTACATCATGTGCATGTTTGCATATATTCATCTTGCTGTGTTTTACCTGTGTATCTTAATAAAAATATGATAAAGAAACGTTGTGGTGATGTGTGACTTTATGAAAAAAACAATGTCTGTCTGGTACCAAAATGAGACCACAGGTGTTACATTTGCAGTCTCACACTTTTCCTTGAAGTGTGCTTGAAGCCCCGGCTCTGTAATATGAAGTATAATAGATTATATTCAATTAATTTCATTTGTACAGCGCCAAATCATAAAATACATTATCTCAAGGCAATTTACATTGAATGTCAAGACCCTGAAACCCAACAGTTCCCACAATGAGACAGCACTTTTGTGACTGCGGAGAGAAAAAAACTCCCTGTATCTTGTGACGATAATTCCTTTTCTGTTTTCTGAATGAAAAATAGTGTGATTCTGCACATGTCCTATTTTCCTACACATTGATTCAAACAAAGCTGTGAATGAGCAGATTTGATGCTTTTGCAAATGCGCTGGGCATGTATGAAAAGATTGTGCCTTTTTTTGTCACACACATGCTGCATCCAGACACAATGAAACACTCTCACATGGACACACACACAAAACATATTTGGGATTTTCCATGTCCTGACTCGCTGTCTGACTTTGGCAGTCCTGGAGCAGACTCTTGCCTAATATTGATTGGCTTGTCTGTGTGGAGACAGATGAATGCATTAGTACCCAGCTCACCCTGCCATTGGAAATATATTAAGTTCATGTATTAGGCACCCTGTCTGGTTGCCATGGAGATGCACCGGGAGTGAGGGACTTGGGGGGGAGGATGGGAGAGGAGTGGGGGATACAGGATGTGATGAGGCAGTCGACTTGATTTGTAGTCCTGCTCCCTCTTCCTCTCCCCCCTGCCTCTGTCACTTGTGTGTCCTCTCCTCCCTCCTGCACCTTTTCTTCTCGCCCTCATTTGATTGTCTTTTCACCCTGTAACATTCTCTCTCCACTACTTTTCAAATTTTCTAAACTCCACCAATGTGCACTTTCACTGCTCACTATTGATTTTGTCATCCCCTTTGGTTCCTTTTTTCCTCTTTTTTTTTTTTTTGGGGCTTTCACGCTCCGTCTTGTCATCCCTGCACCACCAGTCTAGACTTTTATTCCTCGTGGGGTTTTTCTCCACGTACTGTACATAAGCGTGTAACTCCCTCTTCGTCTGACTCCCCCCCCACCACATCCACCCCACTGCCGCCTCCCGCCTTGGCGCGCTCCATCTCTGTGCTCTGCAGTAAAACTGGTGCATTGAGGCAGCAGGAAATGGGGAGTAGAGACAATAGAATGGAGGGAAGTGTAGAGGGGAGTCTGATGCTCTCCTCTCAAACCCAAGCATGTAGGATAAAAACACTTTCACAACCTTCACAATTCCTGTTACATGCACACAAAATTCAGATTCAAAGCTTTATTTTGTCAGATCCTGGAACACAAATCTTTGGAACTTCTGTCACTATGAGACCAGGATTTGAATAAAAACTGTTAACACACACACCTTTGTTTCTAAATAAAAACTGTTAACACACACACCTTTGTTTTTAAATAAAAACTGTTAACACACACACCTTTGTTTTTAAATAAAAACTGTTAACACACACACCTTTGTTTTTAAATAAAAACAGTTTACACACACACCTTTGTTTAGTTGGACACTTGCATTGGAAAATGTGCTCCTCTGCTCTGCGGCTCGTGTGTGTTAGCTTGCTGTTCGGCACCTCTCTGAGCTGCTATCAGTGCTTCGTTGATGTGCAGGACAGTTCTCGTCTGTGCTCCGGTCACATTCTGACGGAGCACAACATTAGAAACGTTGATGCCTGCTTCAGGAAGCTGGACCATATGTTCAACCACAATGAGAGGGTGATCGAGGCTGGCAGAGTCGGTGAGGCAAATTATCTTACAATAAAAACAGTAAGCCATGAAGCTCTAAAGACAATTAGTATTGGCAGTTAGTTGTACTGTGTGTGATGTGTGTCCTTCCAGGCAAAGGTTATGACAAACGGCTGAAGGAACTTTTGGATGCAGAGATCCTGCCCTTGGTTGAGGAATTCGAACACAAACTGAACGATGGTAACTAACCTGCTGCTCTGATTCACACATAACTGCAAGTAAATGAGTCTTTAGAGCGTTGGAATTGTTAAGTGAGGTCAGAAACGGAGGGAAGGTAGAAATGAGAGATTTCAAAATGATGCCCTGAAGGACACAATTCACCAGGATGTGTTGAGCCAAATATTTCTGTCTTCTTCCTCTCCCTCCTCCTCCTCCTCCCCCTCCTTTCCATCTATCAGACACAGTGTATGAGGAAAGGTTGCAGACAGCAGCAGACAATTTCATCGCAGCTGCCTCCAAACTGCCTAGAGGTGAGACATGGTCTCTTCCCCTCTCCTCCATCTTTTCATCTATAGTGAGGCCTGGATTAGGTCATTACGGCTCCATCTGATCCCTGTACTCGCTCTGTAATAAAGTACTTACAGCCTTTCAAGAGCTGTGAAGACTACAGACGAGCAGGCTGAACAGATGTTTGTAACAGTCGTCTGATCAAAATTAAATGTATTAACTGTCTTTCATTCCTTTCACAGTCTCTGGATGTTTCCCTCCATGTGGTCAGTGCCTTTATTCTTTTCTTGGTCTCTTCAAAATCATAATTTCTGTTATACCAAACAAAGTACTGCATATGAATCCATACATCAGCCTTACAATATTAGTTTTCTCCCTTCTCCAGGTTTCCAGAGTGAAGGTGCAGAGTACAACTGTGTTACCTGCCAGTATGACAAATGTGAATTCCCTCTCGACTGCCCAGGTGAATATTCGTAATAATCTGCCACACACACACACACACACACACACATTGGATTACAGATACTGTTACATCACAATTTTCAAGTGGGAAAAGAGGGTGTGCTAATCCAGACTTGACACATCCTTACATAACTATATTTTCACCTTTATAAGCATTCACTCTTGATCATTTAAATGCTCCTCTTCTGATCCTTGAAATGCTCTTAGCGGAAAGTCGGGATTTGAAAAAGAGACCGAGGCAAGGTTTTATTTTCACACATTATAATGTATCTTTTGCTCAGAGCCCCCAAGGTACTCTTTAAGTACTTGGCTTCTTTATGTAAGGTGACAATTGACTCCCACACATGACGGTGTTCGTATCAACCCCGTACAGCACATCCACTGTGTAGCATATCATCACTTTTACTTCACTCCTCAGAGACCGGGCTTAAGTATTATCATTAAGGAGGGCTCAGACCGCAAGAGCTGTCCCCCTGTGAATGTTATCTGCGTGTGTGCGACTGTGTGTGTGTATCTGAACTGTGTGGGTGGCTATGTGTTTATTTCAGTTCAAGAAATTAAAGTAATGGAGAACAGCAGGAGCCGAATGAGGTGCGACGTGCCGTTTCACCTACCAAACGACATGGAGGTAATCTGGAGGTTTGCAGAAGAGGTATGCACATGTTGAACTAGAATGGCACTCAGTAGAGCTCATACATCCCCTGAGGCCCAACAGTGCTTTTATGAAATCACATTTAAAGGTTCAGAGTGTAGGATTTTGTGACATCTAGTGGTGAAGTTGTATGTCGGAGCTGTATACCCCTCACCTCACCCTTCCCTTCCAAACATGAATGTGATCCTGTGGCAACCTTCAGTTGTCATAAAAAATCAAAAGGTGTTTAGTTTCTCCAGTCTGAGCTACTGTAAAAAACATGGCAATCTCCGAAGATAGGACTCGATCCCGATGTAAATATAAAGTATTTAGATATAAAGGGCTCATTCTGTGGTGTAGAAAACAACAAATGTATTTAGAAAACTTGTGAAAACATAACTTGGATTATTTCATATTCCATTTCTGCCAATAGATCCCTCTCACCTGAATCTTACACACTGAACATTTAAATTCACTAGTTCCAAATTTTTATGTCTGACCTTTTTCATAAAGATCCCTGAGAGAGAGTGAATCAACGAAAAGGTTGAAAAATGCCCAACTTGCAATGTTTAAGGAAGTGAAAAACTACTGTTAGGTATTCAGAATATAACTGAATTAGACACAGGCCTCCCGCCTATCGTTCCAAAACAATAGTCGAGGGGTTAATAAAGTTACACAAGAATCTCTAAGAAACACTCATTTAAAACTTCATATTATTTTATTTTTCAACCAAATATAAGATAACAAGCTGTACTTAACGGTGACAGCACTCTCTTGTCACTCTCAGCGCGTAAAATATAAAAGTATTGCTCTATTACTGCGTCATTTTTCTAGTCGTATTAAATCTGCCGTCTGTGATCCCTGCAGTCAGTGCATGTGGACTCAATGTGTTCCTTACGGCAGGTGAAAACGCAGCTTATGGATCAGTTTAAGGAAGTGACTTCAGGGGTAGACAGGCTTTATTCCATCCCGTCTACCAGCTTGCAGCATCAAGGCACCTACCTGTGTGAGATCTATTCAGGCCAGCGCTCCATAGTGAGACTGTTCTTCTATATATCAGGTAACAAGATGCACCACTTTTGAGGGGAAATAATTGAAATATTGTGATGGATATTTATCACTGGGAGTTTCATTTGAACTAAGACACAAAACAGCTCCTTTATACTTCAGATGAAAATCTGCTCAGAGGGGTCAGGAGCAGCAAAAGTGCAATCCGGAGTAAATATATTGGAGTGTGGAAGAATTGATGCAAGTCTCATCTGTATTTTTTAATGTTTAATGGTAAAATCATTTTTAGTTGTTGGAATAATGTATTCTGTGGGTACCGATTTAATTTGAGTTTGGGTGTAATGTTTTGGGAGATAACACATAAAAGTAGATGAATGTATTCTCCATGATGTCTTCATAAGTAATTATAAAACACTGGAGACAAAAAGGGGAAGCAAAAAACGCAGCTCATTAAATACCTGCAGAATACTTTTTTTTTTTGTTACAGTAAACCATCATTTTTACATCTTACTTAATGTGAGTTACAATCACCCCCTCATCCCATCCACTCATCATCCCTCCCCCGCCCCTCTCTCTCTAGTGACCCCCCAGGTTGTGGCAGGCCACACAGAGCTGCAGGAGATGTTCGACCTGTCTCTTCTCCCAGGAGGCCGGTTACTCCCTGCGCCTGGCGGTCCTCCTCCCCGCCGCCTCCTCCTGTTGTCACCGCTCCACATGGCCTGTTTAACTGCTCTGCTGCTGCTGCTGTTCCTCTCCCTCGGGTAAAACATGACAGCGTAAACTGCATGGAAAGTTTGAATGCAAGATGCCATATATTTATATATATATATATATACTGTATAAATGACACACTCCTCATTTCTGTGTGGGTTTTCTCTGGGTACCTCATCTTCCTCCCACAGTCCAAAGACATGCCGATTGGGTTTAGGTTAATTGGACAATCAAAATTGATTGTAGGTATGAATGTGAGTCTGCAAGGTTCCTTCCATGTTGGCCTTCTGATGATGAGCTAGTAATATATGTAGATTCAGTTTTTGGATATATTCATTTCATATATTAAGTTTATATATTATTGTCATATCTCCTTCTTTTCTTTGGCTGCTCCAGGGCTCTGCATTTGTCAATGGTACCCGAACAAACAAGTCTGATGGACGTGAAGAATCAAGATCCTGAGAGTTAGAAAGTTGTGAAATGTTGTGAATGTAGTGAAATTAAATAATTTCACCAGGCCTCTGTTTCCAACACAGTCTTACGTCATTGCTTTAGAAAAGCTGTTAGTGACGTCTTTCCACCACTAGAGGGCAGAATGAGCGCCTTTATCATTGGTTCTTCTTTGTCAGTGGTGTAAAGAACAGCTGCCTCTACATTCAATTGGAGGTACTTTTTATGCTGCTTGACACAAATGAGGGCTCTGTTTTAAAAAGTCATGAGTAAAGTCATGAGGAATAATAAGCCACAAATATAAATCAAAAATAAATATAACTCTGAATATGAAGCACATTTCGATGATAACATTTTTTTAAGCTCTTTATCTTGGTACACTTATCCTCGACTCTTAATCCACTAACTGTTTCATAAAAACGTTTAAGAAATAAGATTCAGTTAAATGTGTCAAATGAAAAAATGTCGGAGACATTTATTCCCAACTTTCACCACCAACATGAAAAGTGTGACAGTTCTTGTCAACAGCTGTGCTGGGTTACAGATCAGTGGCTTCTCTGCAGGCCAGGAAATACAGAGCAGCTAAAGTTAGACAGTGAACAGATCTTGTGGGATGATAATAGTGATTGTGATGCAGTATATTGAGGCTGTTTTATGGGCAAAGGGTCACAAATATGATTTCTTTGCATTGTGATGTTGTGGAAGCTGCAGTGCATTTTGTAAAAGGTGTGGAAGCAATGGAAATCAGTATTGGGAGGAATGTTGAATGGAAATTGACTGTTTTTACAGTATAGAGCTTTTCTATTTTACACGACAAGTCACATTCACAAACACATTTTCCATCAAATAGTCACATTCACACTCTGACGGAATAGTCATCATCATGGTCAAACTGACATTTAGATAAATAAGGAAATATATTCTTTGTTCCTCTCTCGCCTGTTTAAAGCAGACAACCAGCTGAAACAGTTATTACTCCTAGTGACCACAGGGAGGCACCACACACACACACACACACACANCACACACACACACACACACACACACACACACACACACACACACACACACACACACACACACACCTCATCACCTCATCACCTCATGCCAGATATGTCATTTGAAGAAACTTTGTGTCATGTTGCTGTGGGACAGAGAATATTTGGTTACTAACACGAAAAAGAAAAACATCAGCAAAAACAGAACATGTGATGGGGAAGTCATTTAAATGGAAATAAAAAGATTTCAAAATGCGACACTCCAGTCATGCTGTATATTTGCCAATATGTTTAGAGAAAACCTTAAAGCCGAGCGCCTCACCCAAAGCTCTCTGATGTCAGAGTCTGCCTTTGTGGAGTGATTGGCAGAAGCCATTAAGCATTACATAACATTGTACTGTAGGCTCACCTTTGACCTCTGGTGATGATTTGTCTCTACAGTGACCCAAAAAACAGATAATTAATTTTCTCTTCTGTTTAGTGCTTGCATACTTTGCTTCTCCTTCAAAACAGGAGTGGTGGGCTACACCTGCCTGTACCGGGTCAGCGTGACTTTCACTCAAACACTCCACTTGTTCTGTCACACAAAGTACAAACCATCACATGGACAACAGGCATGTTTATACCCCTCACACACATAATTCTATGCGAGTGCTTGAAGTGACAAATATCGGCCAAAGGTTGCCAAAAGAGTCAGAAGAAAAAGTGATTACATAAATAAACTTGAACGATCAGTGGAAACCATACGTCCTCCAATGTCCAACAATCCTCTTAAATTCAACCAAGCTGACCAAAATTGCACACAGGGCTTATTGAAATATTTGTGATATATTTAAATGTATATTTTGAAAATATTCTAGGAATATTCTGTTTTACATTGTTCTTGAAAGCATAAAACAAAGAACTTTTCATTTTTGCCAAAATAAACACAAAAAAGTGGCAGAACAAAAAATAAACTATGTTCAAAACAGTTTTAAACCAGAATGGTATTCAGTAGAGCTCACACCGCCACCAAGGCCCAACAGTCCAAATTTCACACACTCATAGAAATCCGTTTCCTAAATTTGTTTTATTTTTTGATCAAGATCCATGAATTATTCCCCGGAAACTCACCGAAAATAAAATTCCTTATTGTTTGTTTGTGGCACTGCGTTCAGTAATTTTGCTACGTAATCCTCCTGACAAAACAAAAAACTAACAGGTGCAAAAACATATCCTCCTTGGCCTGAGATAATAATACACTTTACATAAAAGATACATATCTCTTTCCTTCTATGGCTTGGAAAGAATACATTAATGCTGACCTTCTATTACTCTCACAAATCGTTTATGTATGTGACATGTTTTTTAAAACCAATAAATATCTTCATCAAAAACTCTGTAAGACACCAGGCAGTCAGTGGAAAGTAGGAAAGGAAATGTTGTAAGAAATATGGTTTGTACTTTCTGAAATGTACAGTTTACTTTATGTCGCTCCTCACTGTAGTTTCTGACTGGGAAATGTGTTTAGATATGTGTGATGTCATCAAAGGTCAAAAGATCGAGCATTTTGTTGATTTCTGTCCTTTTGTCTCTCCTCTCTGTGTTAGCATCCAGCGGTGACATGTGTCCCACCTGCTGCAGGTTTTCTTTTACAAATGACTCTTCACATTTTTCTTTTACTGTGTTCACAACTGAGACACGCCTTCAAACCGAAGCCTCTTCTGAACAGATCCCACAGTATTTCCGTTGAATTGACTCCTCATTATGCCGCCTTTCCTCGTTTGCACTGAACCGACCAAACACATTTCCACCCCAGCGTGGGATTTTAGATGGCGTGCCAGTGTTCAGGAATCAGAGGCGTGACGTATAACACCACAGCATCTGTGTCTGTCCCACAGAGGCAGCTCACAGGAATGACTTGGCTCTGTGACTAACTCCAATCAGAGATGGAGCTACTATGCTCCCCCATTCTGTGTTTCTGTTCACAAATTTTTTGTTTTTTACAAATACAAATCTAAGTATCTCATGTTGGATGGATTTATTTTACAAAAGAGAATTTACAACTCCAATCTTAGGTCTTATTTGTGAAAAACACAAAATCGTATCCACCCTAATTTAAACTGATAAAAAGAAAATGAGCAGCAAGAAGGTTCCCAGCTTGGCCGGGTCTTTCTGTGAGGAGTTTGCATGTTCTCCCAGTGTCTGCTTGGGTTTTCGCCAAGTACTCTGGCTTTCTCCCACAGTCCAAAAACATGCATTGTTTTGGGGTTAAGTTAATTGGAGACACATTGGCTGTGAATGTGTTAGTGTTAATGTTTGTTTATCTATACGTGTTGGCTCTGTGATACACTGGCGACCTGTCCAGGGTGCACTCTGACTCTCGACATGTCAAGTCTGGGACTGGCTCCAGCTAGAAATAAAATGTCCTTGTAAAAACAACGCCCGAGGAAGTGAAAACATAAAAATTGTCATTAATGGTCAGAAGCTCAAGGAAAAATACACATTGAAGTTTGAATATTAACAAATCAATTTCCATTGTTTAAATGATATTTACACTGATGCAGACCAGGTTGTTTGTAAGGAGGAGTTCTGAAAACACTTGTCTGTGTCTTCTGTGCCTCTGGAAGAGTTTCGCAAAGTCTGAGATAGATGGATGATAATCATCAGGATTATCTCAGTAAATGATGAGATGCATTATGGGAGACGTAGAATGGCAGGAGTTTAAAAATCTCTGAGCCTCTCCTGCTACTATTATTTCATCAATAAGTGCCTGAGCTATGTCTGTCACAAATATGACTTTATCTTGTTCATGTTTTGATGACGATTTCCTCCTCAGCCTGTAAGGCCACAAGGCACAAAATAATTACATGAAGAAGATTTGAAATGTGCAGAATTTGATAAACCAATATTAAAAGTCAAACTTTAATATAGTATTTGTTACAGGGCTGTCATTGCATTATAGAAAATGGAGTATAAATGTAGAAAGGAGTTAAATTGGCCATGAGAGTAAGATCAAATGGACACCAGTCGGTAGAGAGAAAGAACAGGATGTGTAAAGACTGTAATGTCCAGTAAATGAGACACGCAGCAGCAAACAGTCATGTACCCATTAAGTCTTCTGAAACCCAATGTTTTACTCCTTCTTTAATTGATGCATTGGTGCTGGGAACCTCCTGTTTTGTTCTGACCAGTGCAGAATAACAGACTGTATCTGTGGTCACTGGTTCCAGGTACAAGGAGGAGATATCAAAAGACGCAGGCACAGGCCGCTCTCACAGTTATGGCTCCGTCAATACCTTCATTTTCTGCAGCACCCACTCTGAGTAAGAAAGAGATAACAACCTGAAAGGTCATGAGGAATAATATAATAACATGACATCAAAGATATTCAATGCAGGGTGTGTTATTAAAATGCAGGGATATTAGCAAACACTAAGGTCATGGGTATGAACCGCCCACACACTCATCCAACCCTGAAATCATAATCTTTATCTAAATGGCAAATAACAAGTCTTCAATGCAGTACAACTGCATTACTCTGAATGTGGTACTGAAACATATGTAGAATTGGAACATGTTATATTCCAGACATTCTTTTCATGTTCATCTTAAACGTTTTTCTTGGATTATCTTTTGCTTATGTCTGATACAAGCTCAGGTTTATTAAAGCTGAAAATGCAACATGCTGCACTGATGACCTCAGACAAATTGTCCTGTTAAAAAGGAAATTATTTGAATTATATTGTTTGACCTTTGGTTGTCATGTTTGGGGTTAGTCTTTTCATATTTCATTCTCTAATTGTTTTAAATGAAGTCGTTGTCGATCTGTTCTTTCTATTATTCTCCAAATGGTCAATTAAAGCACCTGACAACAAAACTTATTTCAGATCATTTTAACATATACTTGAAAACAATGTTATTTATATTTGTCCTATACTTGTGACTTCCTATAGTGCTCTTATTCTACTACTTGAATAAATAATATTACGATAACCTTGTTATACTCTTCTCTTGAAAGCAAGGTCGATGAAGAGTATATGTCACTGTAGTGTAGGACCTTGTTTCCTCATACACAACTCATTCTTCCGATCATTCTGTGTTTCTCCTCAAAATAAATCTCACACACTGCGAGGACAGACAGAGATCTGTGAGCTTTATAAAGCTCTAGTGGAGAATCTAAATATAGTCAGACATGACTCAATACACAACTAGTCATTTCAACAAGAGGATTGCTTTTATTTTTTTCCACTGGATTGCCCAGTTACCAAGGCAACCAGTGATGCATTTTGACAGTACCTCCGGCAG